CCACAAAGAACCCAAGAAGGGCTCCCACAGGACATACAGAACATCCCACAGCACACACATTGGTTGGTTCTGTGTCACCACTGCCCCAGCACATCTTGCAGGCAGGACAGATCGTAGGTCAACAGTTTATTAGCTAGATTGATGTCCAGGTTTCTTTCTGTAGCCTGCAGAGTACCTTTCCATGCAAAAAGAAAAAAAATGTAGGGGTGAAGGCCCCATGCAGATGCAGGCACCAGCTCTACCTCTCTACATTCAATGAGCTGTATGGACATGGTCCCAGGCAATGGGGTCCCCACTGTCAGTTTGTGGAGAGCAACCCTCTATCAAATTGTATCAACAGCCTGTGTTGTTTTGGGATCTCCATGGAACCCTGTCAGCCAACAACTCAACTGAATGCTGCCCAGTCCCATCACTGGAAACCTTGCATGGCTACAGAAGATGTCCAGTTTGGATTTCACATGCTCCATTACTAGGAATCCTCACTAGGGTCACCCTCATAGATTCTAGGAAGTCTCTACTGTATTAGGTTTCCACACCACTGCCAACAGGCCCCCCAATTCCAGTTGTTTCTCCTCACACTCTCTCCCTCCATCCCTTCTCATCTCCCCTGCTCCTTTCCCCACCCACTCCCAGTCCACCTGCAAAATCTATTCTATTTCCCCTTCCTAGGGAGATCTGTGTGTCCTCCCCAGAGCTCTCATCTTTATATAATCTCTCTGGGTCTGTGGATTGTAGCTTGGTTATCATTTATTTAATAGCTAATATTTAGACCATTAGGTGTAAGATGAATTGCTAAACCGTCTTAATAAAAGACCCAGAGTCAGATATATTGGGGTAAAAACTGAGAGATCAGAAAAGCAGAAAGAAGCCAGTCACATTCTTACCACTTGGAAATCCTTAGCCAACAACAGCTACTTCCTGTATACCCAGACCTATATGCCTTTCTATTCTGCATCTCACCTCCTCTCTCTGCCCAGCTACATCACTTCCTGTCTGTCTGTACAGACCTCCAAACATTTATGGTTAGTGTTGGGATTAAATGTGTGTCACCATGCCTGGCTCTGCTCCCCAGTGTGGCCTTGAACTCACAGAGATCCAGATGGATCTCTGTCTCCCAATGCTAGGATTAAAGGTGTGTGCTACCATTGCCTGATTTCTATGTTTAATATAGTGGCTGTCTTTTTCCCCTGATTCTCAGATAAGTTTTATTAGGGTACACAATATATTTGGGGACACAATATATCACCACAATTAGGAACTTCTGAACCATACAATATATAATCCTCTTTTTGAGGCTGGGATTGTGGATGGGTACCAGCATACCCAGCATAAAAGAATGATAAGATAATAAATTTAAATGCTTTAAATAGATTCATGTGTGGTATTTTTCACAGTAGCCATAGAATGCTAATATAGCCTCTAAAAGGATCTTACTATCAGTATCTCCCTAGCAACATCCTCTTTATACGATATTTTAAAAGATTTTATTACAACTTTAAAGACAAAGACCATATCCTTAATGAGCTTTTCTCAATCTGTCCATCCCTGGCTCTCTGGCTTCCCAAGTAGTCTTCAATGTTTGGCATAGCAGCCTTCTTCATTTAATTAAATATTTTACGCTTTGATAATTTCTCACATGATACTATACATCATTTCTACTTGTCCCCCTCCCAACTCCAACTCCTATGATGCTCTTCCTACTCCCTCTCAAATTCAAGACCTCTTTGTCTTTATTATTTTACATATACACAACCTGCTGACTTCATTTAGTGTTACTTATGTGTGTGCACAGCTGGCCACTGGGTATTAGATAAGCTATTTGGGGCCCATTCCCAGAGAAAAGTTTTATCTCCTGCTGTGGATATCGCTCCCTATAAATAAAATGCTGATTGGCCAGTAGCCAGGCAGGAAGTATAGGCAGAACAAGCAGAGAAGAGAATTCTGGGAATAGGAAGGCTGAGTCAGAGAGATGCTGCCAGCTGCCGTCATGAGAAGATGTTAAGATACCGGTAAGCCATGAACCATGTGGCAACTTATAGATTAATAGAAATGGGTTGATTTAAGATATAAGAACGGGCCGGGCGGTGGTGGCGCACGCCTTTAATCCCAGCACTCGGGAGGCAGAGGCAGGCGGATCCCTGTGAGTTCGAGGCCAGCCTGGACTACCAAGTGAGTTCCAGGAAAGGCGCAAAGCTACACAGAGAAACCCTGTCTCGAAAAAC